TTGCGAGAGTGACTTTAGTAAACTGCAGGAACGAGTTGGTGATGGATATTCTTGTTAAGCCTGATTCCCCTGTCATCGATTATAATAGTCGGTTCAGTGGCTTAACAAAAGATTTGGTGGACGAAGCGAAATACGACCTTAAAAAGGTTGGGATTTTTATACCGATATGTATGTTTATCATCACAGATTTCATAATTCATAATTAGTTTGTCGCATGTGTCATATGTAACGAAGCTATTTTATATTCAGGCGAGGGAAAGGTTTCTTGAGTTCGTTAACTCAGAAACCATTCTAATTGGGCATAGTTTGGAAAGCGATTTGAAAGCCCTACGAATTGTCCACCAGAAAATAGTAGACACATCAGATGTTTTTCCGCATGAAAGGGGACTACCGTATAAAAAGTCATTGAAAAATATATTCAATGATATTTTTCATTCGAATATTCAGGAAAACGGTAAGAATAATTTTATAATTTTTTTTTGTCAGATTAGTTCTTTCTTCTTTAGTCAGCTTTACTGGTTTATAAGATTTTTTATAAGGAAAAATTCGTAACTCAGCTGGTAATATTTTAGCCGATGGCCACGATTCAAAAGAAGACGCAAGTGCTTGTATGCGATTAATGCTGCACAAAGTAAAATTCGGCTAAAATTATGACGGGTTACGTTGTATTTGTACATTTTGTTGATACTTTCGATCGTTCACTGCTGTATTTTTGCGCATTTTTTTGCAATATTTTGTTGCCATACTGTATTTATTGTATGTGTTTATATGTTCAAATGCGGGTCAAAATTAAATAAAAATATAAACTCATTCATTTCTTTAAAATTTGCTTACGAGTCGAAGGAAAAGTTGAGCTGAAAGAAATTGTTAAATTTGTTGAGCTGAGGCACTCGAAAGGAGAAAGGCCAATTGTCCATGTCAATCAATCGCTAATATCTATATATATAAAAAATAAAATCAAAGCCTTACAATGGTGTGGCCTTATATAACGAAAAGATATTTCATCGTTGGCTATTACAAACAAAATTTAATCGCAACATAAATTTACCCTTAGGAAATTAATAAACTGGTGATTGGTTCAATTGAGCTATTATGCAATGCGGTAGCCTTCAACAATTTAGCCTTAAGAAATAGCAAAAATAGCAATAGCAATTAATAGTACAAAAAAGACAATTAGAACGATTTTGAATTTCTGAATTAAATTCTGTTTTGAAAAAACACAATTATCCATCTGAGAATAAAAAATCGTCATAACCCTCGCAATGGAGGGAAAAAAATCCGTGGATAATTTTCAATTGGCTAAAAATTTTAGCTTTCAATTTTTTCACTTTTCCAGATATTTTGCCTTTTTTAATTTGCAACCGAGTTGGTTGCTTCATTTATTTCGGTATGTGTGTCATGTAAGTGTGCAATTTCAGGCAATTTATTCGTTGTATTTATTGAAATATTTTGCAACAGACAAGCTTTTGTAATTTTAATCAGTAAATTTAGAAATTTTATTATAAAACTATAAATTTTGGCTTTTGCGGGACTCCCACTTGATTTCTTGTGATCAGTTGACTAAAAAAATTTTCTCCGTATCGCTTGATTTTGCAAATTCTTCGCCCTCGACTTATCGATATCTTTTTATACCTTTTTTTCACTTTCAAATTAATGGAAAGAGAATTAAAGGAAAGGAAAGAGAAGAGAGAGTACATAATTTTGTGCTTTTAATGGAAACGATATTCTTCAATTTAAAGATGGCTGTAACTCTCGCTTTTGCGATGGTACTTGCTGGCGTCTTGTTTTTTAGTAGGGGGGAGGTGTTATTTAAATTTTCCTATTTTTAATTTTTGTTTTGATTAACGATTCTATCGACTTTATAATTAATTAATGTAACTATTATTTATAATTAATTGATTATTAATAATTAATTGTTTATTTATGTTATTTTTAGTAAATTTTATTTATACTAAAATTATTATTATAGTTATATTATTATATTATTTATAGTTTTTTTGATTAATTAATAGTTTTATTGAATTCTCTTAGTGAATTTTGTGGAAATACAATTAGTTTATTTTACATTTTCCTGTTTAAATAAATAAATAGAAAATAATAAATAATTTACATATAATTATCAATAACTATAAGGAATATAAAAAAGTGCCATGTTTTTCTTTTCATCGTTTTTATTATCTTTTTTCTATTTATTTTGAAATCTCAGTCTAAGAGGATTGAAAGAAACGCATTGAACTTTATAAAAGTTCTCTATGTTTTTTCTCGCTAAAATGTCGTATTGTATTCGCGCCGTCGCTATTTTGTCGTACATTTGAGCGACATTTATTTAATAATGCTTCGATTGTTTTTTTAATGCTTTACTGCACCATATTGATTAACTTTAACGTGTATTTATTCGTAAAATTAGGCATTTTTTTCCACTTTTAATGCGTTGGGGAATGCCATTGCTTTTAACATAATGTTAATTCTTCATTTGCTGCTTTCTTTGAAATTTATAAAAATTATGTTTAATTAAAAAGAAAAAATACAAAGAAAAATATATTTATTATAATAATATTTTTTATATAATATAATATAGTTTGAAAATATATTTTTGAAAATATATTTTCATTGATGCTTAAGGTTTTGTGTATTTTGTGCTTTGGGTGTAATTGTTTTTGATTTTGGCTGAGTTGAATCGCTCCTTTCGATTTTTCTGAAGGTGAGAGTGAGTTGATTAGAGGGATAATATTGAGTATTCCAATGTTCCTTTTGTGTTTTTGCTTTTGAAGGAGTTTAGTAGTTTGTTTTTTAAGGTGTTGTTTCCTATTGTTTTTTTTTTTTTTGATTTTAATATGTTGATTATGTTTTTATTTTTTTTTCGTATAATTTCCATTCATGGTTCTTTTTCTCGTTTTTGTTATGATAAGATGGTTTTTTTTCTTATGCCAGTAGTTTTGTTTTTTTTTGATCTAAAAGGAATTTTTTTTGATTTTGCGTTTGTTTTTTTTGTTTACGATTTGGAGATTTATTTTATTTAAAATTTAAATTTTGCCTATTTAAGATGAATCTCTACAAATTAATACAAAATAATAAATACAAATTGTCCGAGGAAAGAATGCAGAGGAAGAAATTATATTATATGACTGTGCAGATTTTAATGAGCTTATTGTTAAAGTTAATCTTAAGTATTTCAATTGGTATTGATATTCTACACTGATTGGAGAATGTGGTGAATTTTCACTAATTTAAATTATTTTATTTAGTCTTTAATTTATTTTTGCACTATTAATTGTGGGCTCTGCATCTTTATCATTTATTAAACTAATTTATTTGTTTAAGATTTTGATTATCACTTGAAATCGTATTTCTAATTGCTTGATTACTTGTTTATTTCGCCGATTTTGAGTGGGTTAAAGGTGATTCAGATTTTATGCTTCTTCTGATATCACTTGCTTTAGTTCAATTTCATTTGCTTCTTACTTATCACAAATACCTTAATAATTTTATTTAGTACTTTTGTAATGAATGAAAAATTATTGAAATGTAAGCAAATGGATTAAAGCAAAAAATTTGTAGTCAAGTATTCATGTAAATTTGTAAAGATTATTTGAATGATTCGGTAATTTTGAATTATTTTAGGCTAATAAGTTGGGATATTTGAAAAAGCTTGTGTGAGGCTGATGGAATCATTTTTTGTATTTGGTGAAGTTATAGCAATTGTGAACGGTGATCAGTACTTTATTTTTATTTTATTCTTTTATTTTTTATTTTATTTTTTTCATAGGTGTCCATATGTTTTAAATTAAATTTGTTCGACGACATTTTATTAATTTATTTTTCTGTTTCGCTCCGAGTTATTCAATAGTTTTTTTAAACCCATTCAATTCAACTAACCACTCATTTAGCTGATAAAATATTTCTTAATATTTTTCTGTTTTCATGTAATAAATTTATATTTCAAAGATTTTGTTAAAATAAGTTTTCTTTATATATCACTTTATGAATCTTTCTCTCTTTCAGATCGACTGTTTTAACTTTGCAATGTCACAAATCGTTGACATTTCTTTGATTTGATTATTTGATTATTTAATGCAGTGCTACAACTCACCGTCAGATATATATTTGGATTTAGAATTTCAGATTATATTAACTGAATTATTATGTTTTTTATTATATGGTGATTTAGAAGTGCTTTCCAAAAAGCAAAATAGTGACTTAGTTTGTTCGATATTGCAAGTTGGTTTTTTCTATTATGTTTTTTCTAACCATGAAGTATTCTATAAATTAATAATTTAATTAATTGGTAATAAACTAATAAAAATTGGTAAATTTATAAAAAAAAACATATTGTTTTTTATAAATTCAAATTCAAGGGAAGACTATGCTTAATAAAAGGTTCAATTTATTTGGAAAAGTTTTGCTGGAATTGCCTCGATTCGAGAAATTGCCCAAATCTTGCTTAGATTTGCATTGATGCACTTGATTTGCATCATTATCAGGAAAAGGAATTGATGATCTTCTTTTAAAGGTTTTTTCATTTTTAGTATGGCGATACGACAGTCCAAGTATTTGAACTTATTTTCCATAAATACAGAATGCTTAATTATTATTATTATTGATATTAATCCAGACCGCGCTGCTTGGAAGAATCCTAACCCTGTAGCCGTTGGAGCCAGCTTACCAGTAATGGTGAGAGCTGTAAAAAGAAGAAGATTGATATAAATCCTAAATATTGTCAATCTCAATGTAACATTTATATTAAATCAATATTCAAATTAACTTTAGTTACTGCGTTTCTTCAAAGATGTGGAGATGTCTTGACGATTGGTATACAATTAAGGACTTGCAGCGAGCAAAAAAATCTTAGTCAAAGATTTAACGATAGTTTTTGCTGCATTTTTGATTTGATAACTAATTTCTTGTTTGACGATTTCCACTTTCCCATCCGATATTTAAATTCTCATAGAATGGCATCAGATATTAATTTTATTTTATTAATCCATCGACATCTCGTAGTGCATATTAAACAAGGAGAGGGTGGGGAAGTGCAAGGAAGATTATTTAACAATGGATTCAGTATGGTTGGACTAACAATGGATTCAGTATGGTTGACAATTATTTTATACGGGCAATAAAATAATGTGGATATATTAGGGAAAGGAAAAAATATATGAGGCTCAGGAGCGAAAAAGGCAGTTCCAGTTAATTTAATTTAACCAGCAGACTGGCCGAGTATTTTGTTTAATACCAGGCATATTCAAATGTGATTTCGAGATTCCATTGTTGAATGGTCCACAGCTTCTAATGTAAAAAAGTTATCGGATGCAAGGACAATCTAGTAAGTTTGCACATTTGCTGATTTGGCTTGCTTTGCTGGTGATCAGATGCGAATTGCGATATTTTCGTCTTGTCGAACAAAATTCTTCTCTATCAAATATTTGGCCGAGCAGAATATTTTATTTAATCGAATTATAGAAAAATTTCTTTAAAAATTATAGAAAAGAATAAATAAAATGAGTAAAAATTGGAAAAAATGATAAAAAAAGAGAAAACACGGTACGGAAATTAGTGCTGCTAATTCTCACATATGGAATAATTACTATTTTTTATTGTATTATTTTATTTGAATCAATGAAAAATTCTTTCAATTATTAAATGTTTTCC